AGCTTCAGAATACCTATCTTTTCAACATCTTTTGCATAACAATACAAAATGATCTCATGTACCACAAGCTAAGCTATATGTTTTAACCTTTTCAAAATCAAATACTTGTAAAGGGGAATTGAAAAGGAAAAATATTACTTTATTTATAAATGCAAAGAGTTTTTAGCAACTATATGGCAAACTTTTAACTGGAAAAAGAACAAAAGGATAGGCGTATTCAAATATCAATAACACAAATGCCTTTGAACTGGCACGCCGTTAGAATAACCCGAGCGTAGCTTCTATCAAAAGGAACTCCAAAATTATGATGACACCTAAGAGTGCAAAGCTACTTCTGAACCCCAAAATCTCCCATTATTGGATGCCGTAAACCAGTATTGAATCTCATGTGCATTCAATTTCTCCTATGGTTGCTTTCATAGGGACTCATTAATCTTTAGTCTCAATCCTGATCACCAACTGTCGTTGTTACTACTCGCGTCATAAGCTCTTTTCTCTTCCAAAAATAATTCAGAACCTCCACCGTGCACGAATTCTGAATTTAAAACTCAAGCCGCCCTCTACGGGTTTTCAACTTGACCTCCTTTGGTTTCAAGATGTCTTTTTCAAGTTTGCATCTTGAACCCCCCTTTTATTTGTTTTTGTTTTTCTTTTCATTTTTTTCATTTTTTTCAATTTTTCATTTTTCATTTTTTTTCTTTTTTTCATCTTCAAGCAAAACCCTTCTTAGCTACGTTCGGAGTTCACTGAATAAGGTAATTCAAACTCATCCATCAATCAAGACTAGAGCTCCCCAAAAAAGGTTTTCTTGACAACATAGGGTATTTTCCACTTGGGCATCCAATTCCCTCAGAAATCTTTTGGAACGAGCAATATCCTCCTGAGCATCAAATCCCTTTCGTAGACTTCTCGAGGGCGAACTTTCTTACCATGTGCTCATATCATCCGCTTCTGGTACATCTGACTATGGCAAATAGCTTTCAATCTCTTTTCTTCAATCAAATCCAATTGGTCATATCTGGCCTGTACCTACTCTGCCTCATTTAGCTTCACTTCTGACAAAACCCAAAGTGAGGGAGTTTCCACTTCAAATAGGGAGGACAGCTTCCATCCAATAAACTAGAGAAAAAAACGGAGTTGCCCCAGTTGACGTCCGTACAGAAGTCCGATAGACAAACAGAGCAAATGGCAACTTCTCATGCCAATCTTTATAAGTTTCAGTCATCTTCTCTATAAGCCTCTTAATGTTCATATTAGCCGCCTCCACTGCCCCATTCATCTTTAGGCGATAGATAGTGGAATTATGATCCTTTATCTTAAATTGCTCACAGACATAGTCCATCCTCTTGTTGTTTAAGTTCAAGGCATTGTCAGAGTCCATCATCCATGCCCCACATAGCCTACGACCACAAAATTTTCATTATATGCAACTGATGAGGAGGGGTGTGCATTCTATCTCCATAAATTCATTAGCGTGGGTCCCATATACTCCTTCATGAATTTCTTTAAGAATGGTCTTAGCTTCTTTAGAGTCCACACACCTTAATAGGATCTGATCCATGCTTTTCTTATATAAGGTCTCACCATTAAGCACATACCTTGCTGCCATTCTTCTAATGGTCCTTTTGTCATTCTCAGTTGCATGTTCGGGGTAACTTTGATATCTTATATATTGGAAGATATCATAGTACCAAGGTCTTCCATCATCTTCTTCTTCAATGTTAAAGCAGTGGGCTGGATACTCATACCTTCATCTCAATAGGCATCATATTTGAATGCTCGTTCATCTTAAAGGCCACTGCCAAAGTAGCCAAGGCGTCCGCCATTTGATTTTCTTCTTTGGGGAGGTAATTGAAAGTCACTTCTTCAAATTCTTTAATAAGTCCCATAACTAATTTACGATATTCCACAAGTTTGGGATCTTTAGTTTCCCATTCTCCTCTGAGCTGGTAAATTACCAAAGTTGAATCCCCATATACCCTCAGCATTTTTGCTTTGAGTTCAATAGCTGCTCTAAGACCCATAACACAAGCCTCATATTCAGCCATATTGTTTGTACAATCAAAATTGAGCCGACTGGTAAAAGGATAAGGCTCTTCACTTGGTGAGACCAAGATTGCCCCAATCCCATACCCTAAGGCATTTGAAGCACCATCAAAGTTCATCTTCCAGTATTTACCGGTGAGCGCAATTGTTTCTTCCTCCGAGATAGCCATTAAATCCTCATCCGGAAAATCGAAGTTCAACTGTTCATATTCTTCTGAAGCCCTACTCGCAATGAATTCTGCCATGGCGCTCCCTTTAACTGCCTTCTGGCTTACATACTGGATATCAAATTCGGACAACAGGACTTGCCAACGGGCTAATCTTCCAGACAACGCAAGTACCCCCATTAGATACTTTAAAGGGTCCAGCTTAGATATGAGCCAGGTAGTATGATACAACATATACTGTCTAAGTCTTCTGGTAGCCCATACTAAAGCGCAACACAATTTTTCAATTGGTGAGTATCTGGCCTCACACTCAGTGAACTTCTTACTGAGATAGTAGATAGCCCTCTCCCTCTTCTCAGTTTGATCATGTTGCCCCAACACACATCCCATTGAATTGTCATAAACGGACAAGTAAAGAATTAAAGGCTTTCCTGGGATAGGTGGCGCTAGGATCGGAGTATTCGAAAGATATCTCTTTACTGCCTCAAAAGCCTCTTGACAATCCTCACTTCATTCTCCTGAATCATTCTTACGAAGAAGGCGGAATATGGGATCACATTTTTCAGTCAGTTGCGAGATAAACCGAGCGATGTAATTTAATCTCCCCAAAAATCCTCGAACCTCTTTCTGTGTTCTTGGGGCTGGCAAATCTTGAATGGCTTTTACTTTATTGGGATCTATTTCAATTCCCTTTCGGCTCACTACGAACCCCAACAGTTTTCCCGATGTCACCCCAAAAGTACACTTATTTGGGTTAAGTTTTAGTTGGCACTTCTTTAATCTTTGAAAGATCTTCCTCAAATTATCGATATGTTCCTCCTCTGTATTGGCTTTTACAATCATATCATCGACATAGACTTCAATTTCTTTATGCATCATGTCATGAAACAATGTCACCATGGCCCTCTGATAGGTTGCCCCTGCATTCTTTAATCCAAACGGCATGACTTTATAACAGAACGTTCCCCACATAGTGACAAACGTTGTTTTCTCCATATCTTCAGGGTACATTTTAATTTGATTATATACGGAGAAACCATCCATAAATGAGAATAAGGAATTTCCAGCAGTATTGTCCACTAACGTATCTATATGTGGAAAAGGAAAATTATCCTTTGGACTAGCTCTATTCAGATCTCTATAGTCGACACACATTCATACTTTCCCATCCTTCTTTGGTACTGGGACAATATTTGCTACCCACTCAGGATATTTGGCCACTGTGAGAAACCCAGCATCAAATTGTTTCTTTACTTCTTCTTTAATCTTGAGCAGCATCTCTGGTCTCATTCGTCTCAGCTTCCATTGTACAGGCTTGCAATCAGGCTTTATCGTAGTTTATGGACCACCAATTTTGTGTCCAGACATGGCATATCCGTGTACGACTAAGCAAATACATCCTTGAATTCTGGAAGTAATTCTATCAAGCTCTGCCTTCATTCTGCACACAGGGTGGTACCGATCTTTACTTCTTTTATCCTCATCCGTACCCAAATTCCAGATCTCTATAAGCTCTTCGTGAGGCAAAATCTGTTTATCTTCTTGTTCCACCCTCTTCAGTAATTCCGAAGGTAGTTCACATCACTCATCGTCATCACAACCTTCGATTTCTCTTTGACACATGGGCATCTCGAAATCAATCTCCGAGTCAGAGTCATTAGCATTTGTATCATTGATATCTGAGTTCCTGAAAGAATAACGGAAGCGGAGATATATATACATATATATATGGAAGAATCTTTTCCCATACAAATAAATAGAAAGAAATAATACATACATTATACAACCAAAAATGAAATGCATGGGAGAGTGTTTGCCATTTTGGACCAATGAAATGCATCCTTTATTGAAAGCAAGTAAAAACACACAGCTTAACCCTTTACATCAGATCCCCTATTGCCCCAGGGTACGAACAATAGGGAAAAGTTCTAGTGCGCTACTCTGCAAAAGATTTGTAAACTAAGGGCGATTCCTCCATAGTCCAGTTGTTCAACACAAAGCCCGGGGGTGCAGGATAGACACCTGTAGCTCTCATTCCTTCAAACTCCTCATTGGTTACAACATCAATGCCAAAATACTCCAAGGCATTCTCAATCATCACTTTACCACTTCTTGAAGTCCTTTAAAACACATGCCCTGCTGATGTGAAAATGTTGCTCAATGGCGGGAAGGTCCTGGGTCCCCAACTTGGGTCTTCACCAGTCAATCTTGCCTCTCCCAATTCCCGATTCCTCTTGATGCCCCTCTATTTTTCCTTCAAAGTTGGTTGATACCCTAAACCAAACCTGTCTCTTTTAGCAATAGGGTAATTTGGCCTAACTGGTCCTTGCAACTGACGTCCTAGCCCTTGGCTACCTTTGGTCCCTCTTCCAAGGGTCAGTTTGTGCCCCGTTTTGGTACAGTATGATGATCTAGGCTCTGAGATTTTCTTACCTTCAGCCACAAACGTGGCATTGTCAAACGATCTGAAAGGACATTCAACAACTTGTTCTTCCACTTCAATATATGGGGCTGCAGGAACTGAAGCAATAATGTCTTCTTCCGCATGAATGCATACCAGCCTTCCATCAAATACGAACTTTAGCCTCTGGTGTAAAGTTGATGAAACTGCCCCAGCCTGATGAATCCAATGTCTTCCCAATAAGCAGTTGTATGTAGGTTTGATGTCCATCACAAGAAACTCCACTTCAAATGTCGTTGGACCAATAGTCAAAGGAATATCAATCTTGCCTAACACTTCTCTTTCTGTTCCATCAAAAGATCGAACTATACTTTGACAATTCCTCATCAGGGTACTGTCCACTGGCAGCTTTTTAGAGTCACCAAGGGGATTACATTTAACGTTGAACCATCGCTTATAAGTACTCTGGATAAAACGTGCCCTTTGCACCTAACTGTAATGTGTAGAGCCTTATGATTGTCAATCATCCCCGAAGGGATCTCATCCTTTGAAAAAGATACAATGTTATCAGCCTGCATTTTGGCAACTAGTCGCTCCAGCTTTTCTGTGGGTAACTCCTTCGAGACAAAGGTCTGGTCCAAAACTTTTATCAAGACGTTGCGATGAGCCTCTGAACTCAAAAGAAGTGATAGGATAAAAATACTAGCAGGCAGCTTGTGCAATTGTTCCACAACACCGAACTCACTATGTTTTAAAATTTTTAAGAATTCCACTGTTTCATCCTTCGACACCAGTTCATTGATAATGAGTTCGTCTTTTTTTATCTGAACATCGACATTCTTTCCTTTTTCAGCAGCAATCTTCTTCTCTGGCTCTTTGAAAAAAAACCTACCACTTCTGGTCAAGTGCCCTACTCCATTTATTTCTTCTTGTTGTTTTGCCCCCTCTCTCATTTGACAATTATACCTCCAGGGCACTTGTTTATTATCTTTGTATGGGAACGGAGTTGAAGGAGCTACCCTTTCATTCACTTGATTCTTGGGAGTAATGACGATGGGACAACCAACAGTGTGTATCCCTTTGGATGATCCTTCAGAAGCGCAAATCTCTGCTTTTTCTTTTTTAGTCACTTCTTTGAAGAATTCGATTTCTTTCTTGTCCATCATCCCTTGTACCAATTTTAAGAAATCAGGACACTGTTGTATATTGTGTCCTGCGCAATTATGGTAGTGGCACACCTCTTCACTGCTATACTGGTCACATGATAGACTAGGCTTCAACAATCCCACTTTAACCATTTGGCACCATACCCAAAGCATGGGTGATTCCACCTCACTAACATCCATAACAATCCTCTTTCCTTTCTCTTCAGCGACTGCGTTAATCCCGGCTCTAGCATGGTTTGGCAATGGATTTTGGGCTACCTTTGGTTGTTCACTGTCACCAAAATTGATAACAATCCTCCTTCTCAAAGATTGAACGACCTTTTTGAATGCAGTGTAATTTTTAATGGAATGTCCAGGATTCCCACCATGGTAATCACACTTAACATTAGCATCATACCATTTGGGATAAGGAGGTTGTATAGGTACCACATGATAAGGAGAGACTAGATGTCGATCGTATAAATCGTGAAATAATTCCTTATAGGTTACAGGAATTGGATCAAATTGAGGCATCCCTCTCCTCGGGTCCCTTGCTCCTTGTCTATTCTCATTTTGAGGTGGTGCCACCGTTCCCTGAGATCGGGACATTGTGATGTTACTGGAATCGTACTGGCTCACCTGGGTGACTTCGTTTTCCTTTTTCTTTATCGGCGGTTTGTTGCTGGACTCTCCTCCCTCGAGCTTCCTGCTTTTAATCGCCATTTCGATCATTTCTCCTATCGTAACTATATCAACGAAACTTCGGGAAGGAATACCGATAAGGTGTGAGAGAAAAGGAGCCTTCAAAGTACTAATGAAAAGCATATTTATTTCCCCCTCTTCCAATGGTGGATGCACTTGCACTGCTACCTCCCACCATCTCTGAGCATATTGTCTGAAACTTTCACTGTGCTTCTTCTCCATTTCTTGCAACACCAATCTGTTAGGCCTGACATCTTTCACATGTTCATACTGGTCGAGAAAGGATTTAGCAAGGTCTTTCCATGACCTAATATCAGCCTTTTTTAGTTGGTTATACCATCGCAATGTTGAGCCTGTCAAGCTTTCTTGGAAATAATGGATCAACAGTTGATCGTCCCCTATGTACCCAGTCATTTTCCTGCAGAACATTATAATATGGGCGGAAGGGCATCTAGTACCGTCGAATTTCTCGAAGTCAGGAGTTTTGAATTTTGGAGGCAGGACCAAATTAGGAACTAGACTAAATTCTTTAGCGTCCAGTCGATACATACTGGTGTCTTCCTTCATAACCTGGACTTCACTTGCTAATTATTCGAATTGTTCCCGAAAGTGTTTGTTTTTATTCTTTTTGGCCACTTCATCAAGGTCCGGGACTTGGTGTCAGAGACTTTCTTCGGGGTGCGAACTAAGTCCTGGTTGAAGATTCACAGCAACGCCGACAGGATCTATGTGCACTTTGGTAGGAACAGACGTTCCTTTGACATTTTAAGACTGTACCGAGGTAAACCCTGCAGGATAAAGTGGTTCTCCAGTCATTTGCTCAGGGGCCTTTCCATGTTCCGGGTTTCTCCCTTCCAACAAACTTGTCAACTTAGACAGCATATCTTCTTGAGCCTTAAACATGTCCTCTTACATTTTCCTTAGATCATCTTGCAACTGCAGTTGAATTTTTTCAATTTAAGTAATCCTACCTTCCATGGTTCTCTCCATTGTATTATAATGATGCTTGGACTTCCCCAGTATTTCTCTGTCACAGTTCCTTTACGAGTTACTCTCATGTTTTCATGATTGATGCATGTAAAAAATGCTTAAATTAAAGCGATGCAAATGCAAATGTGGATGCAAATGCAAAAGGTGTTAATTCAAAAGTGACCACTTATAGAACAACCGTTCACTTAGACAACAAGAATTCAGTAAGTACACCATGTAGTCAAAATACAAATGTGATTCTTCATCTCTTCATTTTCTTGAGTCGTACTCTTCCTGGGATCTCGAATTGCACCTCCAAAATTGTCGGCGTATTTCATCACATTTGATGACGTCAGATGTCTTTAAATTGAATCTTGGGATCTCCATCTTCACTTTAACGCAAAACAGTCTTCGTGTCTTTGTGAAAGATTTTCTCGTCCTTGGTATGATTGTATCTATCTCTTGAGTCAACATCTCGTCCTTTGCAGCTTTAAAGGAATTCTTCAATCAGCTTCAGATATCGTCATTCATCGGGTGTCATTCTTCATGGATCACTTGAACATCTCTGGATCTCCCGATTTTGACTACATAGTGGAGAATTTATTGCCTCATTATGGTCAGCCTTCTTGTTAGTCAGTCACTTGTGAATTAACACCCCTTGATGACATGAGGATGCAAATGCAATAAAAGCACAATAAAATCGACATAGAACAAAAACGGGTTAGTACGCATAAGATAAACAACAAGATAGTAAGTACCGTGAACATCGAATAAAACCTACCCTCACATGCTGACTATCCAATCATGTTTTAGTAGATCCTACCCGACATGATATCTACCCACATGCTTTGTTGTTCACAAAAAATCCTAACCGCATGGTATCTAATTCACATGCTTGCTCAAAAAATAAACCTAACCACATGATCTCTAGTTCGCATACTTTTTGCAAAAATAAATTCGAGGAAAAGGTTAGAATGAGTTTCTCCCTCTGCGACTTTTGAAGAAAAATGGGCAGAGGTTCGATATAAAACAGGCAGAATTCTAATAGGGCCCTCGAATTGTCCTTTGCTGGTGCCCCCTTGGGCTTGCCAGACCCTCGATTCTCACCCATTATGGGCTTAAAACGAATCAAGTTCAATTCGAGAGGATACATATCCCCATATCCATGCGAGGAAACTCAATGTTTTCTCGTAGACATAAGGCATGTACCCCAGAGGTTACTAGCTAAAGCCCGTGCGGAGAAAAATAATTTTTCTCACGTAAGCGTAGCTTTCACCCCTACTTAATGGGACAGAGCACAGTTAGAAGGCTCTGAATATTGAAGGTTTAACAACAGTTGGGAAACTCATAATCCTTTGCCTCGATCCAAGAAACTCAACAAACTAAAGGTTAGAAAACTGAAACATGTAGATCACACGTTAGTACAACTATTTATTTCTAAACCAAATCACAAATAAAAATGAAAACAAGAAATTCAACACAAACAAGGGATCAAAAACCAAATTAAAATGAACTTATAACTTTTGTTTGCAAAGACAATTAATTAATCGACTATCGGCCTGACTCTCTAAAAAAAAGTCCCCAGCGGAGTCACCAAGCTGTCGAAACGTTTTTTTTAAACCGGGGTGGGGGCGAGATTCTGAAAACCACGTCATTTTTAATTATTATCTTTTCAATTGAATTTTTAATTAAAAATAGTGCGATTTTAGAAAACCTCTCGTTTCGAAAAATTGGAAATTCCTTTACGATAAAAATATAAGGTTCGAGGAGTCGCCACCAATCTTTGATTAGGGTGTGATTGGGCACCCAAAAACATTGTCATTTTAAATAAAAATTAATTTTAATTAAAACGAAAAATTTACGGTCTACGTTACCAAAATCCAAGTTCAGGAGTCGGTTACGCGTGGGGAAGGATTAACACCCCCACAACGCCCTAAATCGGTACCTAGTTGATTAATTAATTTCTTTGCAATGAATTTCGCAAGTTCAAATTTAATTTGATTAATGATCCCATTAAACAACAAACATCCAAATTTGCAACATTCAAAGCAACAAAATAGATTTAATTTAAAATTACCAAGTCATTAGAAAGATAAAGAATATTCGATTATTTAAAAATATTGAGACCAGATATTTAGTTCAGTTCTAACGACCTTTTCTCGAAAAGTTTAAATAGTCGAATATTTCCTTTTCTTTCGCTCCCAAATTTTACAATGATATATCCAAATTTAATTAGGCGTTACTGACGGGATACCATTTTAATTTAAAATCGTCAAAACAACTTTCCTGTAAGTTAAGAAAAGCCATTTTGATAATTTTAGATTAAAAGGGCATTACCCTTAATTCCGATTATGTGATTAGATCGAGTTATGAACACGAGATTAACATGCTTTTTAAAAAAAAACAACTAAACAAAAGTGTACTAACAACATGCTCGGAATACTATACATGCATACATTTAAAATAAATATAAATTAAACTTACGAAGATGGATAAAATATTAAACAAAGGGGCTAAAATGTAAAGAACACAAAAGACAGGCTCTTTTCATAACATTTTCATTTCTGGGCAGTCCAAACATGATACAACCAAAATCCTACATAGGATCAAAATGCAAGTTTCTAAAACTATGCATCCAATGTAAAAACAACACAAAAATGGCCCCAACATGAATTTGGACTATCATGAAAAACGCTGAAAATCATGCAACAAAATCAAAAGATAATAAAGTTCAGTATAGGGACTAAATCGAAATGAAACAAGGTTGGGATGGCCACGTACACAATTACGCCCTCACAATCTCAATACACGGATTCCCTCAGCTATCAGAACGCTGCCGTTTTTGGGGTATCTAAACGACGTCGTTTTGGCGTCTTAATATATGAGATATTAGGGTAAGCTCTTTACCCTAATTTTATTTCTATTCAGCCAGACCAAACCAAGCCCCACCGTTTTCCTTCTTCTCTCTCACTATCTCTCATTCTATCTCCCTCAACCCTAAATAAAACCAAAGGCCACCACCGTTCAACGCTCCGACGAGGAGTCCAAAATGGCCAGAACCCTTCTCTTCTTTTACCCTGAACCCAAAATCTTCGAACCTACCACACAATAGCGACCAAAACCTGAAGTTTAAACTATTCCCCAAACCTTACTGCCTAAACCATGTGACCACCGTAGTACGCCCCTCTCAACGCCCCGTTGAGGAACCGAGACCTCAAAATAAACCTTACTATCCCCCTCTCAGAACCCTAGCCTCATTGAAACAAAGACCTCTCCCATGAACTAGGATCTAACCAAGCCTCCTGAAACCATATTCTCATGCAACCATAGTACCCAAAGATGAAACTCTTACCCTCGGTGACAAACAGGACTCAGGTTCAGGCGATGACTCTATTCTTCGGCTAGGGAAGGTGAGGGTTTTACCTTTTGTTTTTGTTTTTGCTCTTTCGTTCTCTGCCTCTTGTTGATTTTTCTTTACTGGGTTGTTTTGTTACCGTTGATGATTGTCTCAAATGGATCGTTTTCTGTTCGGTTTATTTTTTGGTCCTTAATTGCTTCGTGGTTCTTGTTCTCTGATTTACTCCAGGGTTTTGGACTCCGGTTCTGGATTGCTTCTTTGATGGTTGATTTTGGATTCTCTATTGTTCTCGTTGGCTTTCTATTTTTTTTTTGTGTTTCTGTTCGTAATTGCCTCTGTTTTTTGTTACTGCTCCATGGTTCTGTATTTTTGGCTTGCTGGTTATGGCTCCTGTTGCTCTCTCCCTTTGTTCGTCCTCTGATTCCTGAACCGAGAGCCCTCTGAGCTTTTTTCTTTCTGGTTCGTGGTCCTCCCTCCACTCGGTTTCATTTTCACTGCTATCTCTAGTTGATTTTTGCTTTCTGTTTTATGTGTCTTTCGTCCTGCTCCTTGCTTGGTGTGCTTGCAGGTCACGGGTGCGAGCTGGTCACGGGGCTTCAGCTGTCTGGGCACGGGTGATGGGGAATAACCCCGAGGGACTTCACGTGGGTAGCACTTGGTTGGTTCACGCACTGTCTTGGAGTTCTGAGTGCGTTGGGAGCCATTGGCACAGGGTCTTCATGCTTGGAACTTGGCCAGCACGGGCTGCTGGGGTCTCGTGCATCGTGGAGAAGTGAGTTCATGTGTGCTCGGTTGTCTTGGTGATTGAGCGTGCATTGCTTTGGGCTTGCTGTTTGGTGGGTTGTGGGGCATGCTGCTCGGTTGGAGTGCTGTTGATAACCTTGAGGACTTCACGTGGGAGACACTTGGGTGTTGTGGAGTATGGGCACGAGAATGTGGGGAGCTGAGCTGGAGCTGGAGCTGCTGCACATCCTGGGGCTTCACGTGAGGAGTATCTCTAATAGAGTACTAGATCGGGTCTTGATGTAATTATTGATGGGCTTTGTTTGTTGGGCCTCGGGTATATTGAGTCTTGTAATTTTGAGTCTATTTTGGGCTCAATGGACTTTGGACACTTAATTTGTATTTGTGATTGAATTTCAATTTGTGTCCCGATTTCCATATACGATCCCAATCCCAATCGAGCACCTAAAGCCTTCAAACGCAAAATTCCACGCTCCATTATTTGAATTAAATCTTCATCGAGCACAAACATCTCCAAATTAATTCTCGTTAATCATCAAGTGAATTTAAATGGCCCGGACAAAATTAGGGTATTACAGTTGGTTTTTTGCCTTATCAACTAGATTTACCTCCGGAAATGGATAAGATTCATTATGTATTTCATGTATCAATGCTCAGTAAGTATCAATCGATTTCATTGGTTAAAGTTCTTTGACAAAACCATAAAATCGATAAAGCTACCTGGGAAAGAGAAAAGATATGAAAAAGTAGTTTCCTAATCTTTTTGCATCAGATATGTAATGAAAATTCAAGAAATAATTTTAAAAAATGGGAAGAATTGTTATATCCAAAA